CCGACCCGCAGCCCCCCCAGCCCTGCCGCTGCCCCTCACTCCCGACCCACATCCCCCAGCTCTGCCAGTGCCCCTCACTCCCAACCCGTATCCCCCAGCCCTGCTGGTGCCCCTCACTCCCGACCCGCAGCCCCCGCTAGCCCGGATACTCACGGCCCCTGGGGGTCTCAGAGGGGCTAGTCCGACGGGACGCTCTGCACTACGATGCTGGGCTTGTCGCGCTGGGCGCTCTTGGAGATGTAGCTGTTGAGGGTTTTCTCCTGGGGGGGGGGGGCAGTGGGGTCAGAGATGGCACCCGCCCCCCCGGCGCTCCCCCCCCCCCCCCCCCCAAGCTCCACAGCCCCCCCCCCCACAGCATCCCTCCCTGCCCCCTTCCCCATGGTACCCCTCTGCCCGTCCACAGCCCCTCTGCCCCATAGGTGACCCCTTCCTGACCCCAAAGCCTGCCCCCTCCTGACACCCCCCACCCATCTCCCCTGCACCCCCAGGGCCACCCCACGTAGCACGACCCGCCCCTCCCCTCCAGCCCGCCCCACCCCATTACCTCCACCAGCTGGTGCCAGTGCTCAATGGGTTTGCGGGGGTTGGCCAACATCTCAGCCCAGTGCTCCCGGCCCGGCCCCTCGGCGTCGCTCCCCACCCGGCACATCCCGATCACCTCGTTGTGCCCGATGCTGGGAGAGAGACAGACCGGTCAATGCTGGACCCCCTCCCCTGCCATGGGGACCCAGAGCCGGGGAGAGAACCCAGGAGTCCTGGCTCCCCGCCCCCCTGCTCTAACCACTAGACCCCACTCCCCTCCCAGAGCCCGGGGGAGAACCCAGGAGTCCTGCCCCACACACACACACACACCCCGACGAGCAGCCGTGCTCCAGGCTCACCAGTCGTAGTCCATGACGGTGATGGTGAGGCTGACGTGCTCGGCGCTCTCATGCGGGATGTCGAAGACGAGGGCCTCGTTGTAGCTGGGGTTCAGGGTGTTCTTCTTGATGGACGTCTTGCGCTTCTTCAGCCGCCGCCCCTCGCACATGAGCGAGGCCTTGACGTAGGGGTCTGGGGGCGCATCAGATATGGCCCGGATGGGGAGGAGGGGTGGGGTCCCCAGCTGCACATCTCCCAGTGCCAGCAGCCTCCCTCCCCGGCCACCCCTTCGGTGCCTCCCCCGACCCAGAAGCAGCCCCATCTCCCACCTCCTGTAGCACCCACAGCCGCCCATCCCAGCCGCACACACACACACCCCCGGCACAGCCCTGCCCTCCCCCAGCCGCTCCCCCCCGAGCGCAGACCCCCGGTCCCTGACCTGAGAAGCCGGTCAGGTCCATGGCTTTGAGGTTGGAGGCCCGGATGATGGTCACGGTCAGGCGGCCGGCGGTGGGCAGGTAACAGAGGGAGAAATTCACCTCCCCCAGGTCGGCCTTCTCCTGTGTGGGGGGGGAAGGGGCGGGTGAGTGACCCCAGGTGCCTGCAGCCGCTGCTTTCCCCAGCCTGAATATTTCATGGCCCTTTACCAGGCTGGAGCGACTTCCTGCCCATGAATATTAATGCCCGCCTGGCCCCGGGCGCCGGCCCAGCCCGCGTGTTACAGCCCCTGGCGCCCGGCCACCGCCGGCCCCCGGGAACGGCCGAGGAGAGCGAGAGGCAGAGAAATGACAGGCCAGATTTCCTGAGTCAGAGCTGACCCCAATGCGGTGCCCGTCACTCCCGACCCGCAGCCCCTGCTAGCCCGGCCCTGCCCCCCCCCAGCCCTGCCGGTGCCCCTCACTCCCGACCCGCAGCCCCTGCCAGCCCAGCCCCGCCCCCCCCAGCCCTGCCGGTGCCCCTCACTCCCGACCCACAGCCCCCGCTAGCCCAGCCCTGGGCTCCCCCCTCCCAGCCAGTGCCCCTCACTCCCGACCTGCAGCCGACCTGCCAGGAGTGGGGCAGGGACTCAGTAGGGGGTGGTCTCCCCTCACCTTCTGCACTGGCTACGACCCCCCAGTGCGGCGCTAGGGGGCGCTGCCCCAGTGGGCTCAGGGGGGGGTTGTGGGGCCGGAGCTGCAGGGAGCAGGACCAGGGCCTGTCTGGGGCTGGTTCCCAGCTCACCCTGTTTGGATGCTGGGGCCGGAGCTAGAGCAGCGGGTGGATTTCCTGGGGGGGGGGGGGGCGGGGGGGGGGGGGGGAGACAGTGGGGGGCGCCCCCCCCCCCCCCCCCCCCCCAGCCCCCCAGGGACCGACACAGCACCACGGGGGAGGGGCAGGGCGCACACACACCCAGACCTGCTCCTTACCCTCCCCCACCCTTTCCCTCACCTGAAAATCAGCTGACTTCCAGCAGCTCAAACCCCAAACAGCCTCGCAATTGATGACAATTGGATTTGATACCGGAGAGCGAGCGCGTTATGGGACAATAATAAAGGCAGGGCTGGGGGGGCTGGGGGGGGGCGGGGCTGGCAGGGGCTGCGGGTAGGGAGTGGGGGCACCGGCAGGGCTGGGGGGGGCAGGGCTGGGGTAGGAGGGGCTGCGGGTCGGGAGTGGGGGGCACCAGCAGGGCTGGGGGGGGCCAGGGCTGGGGTAGGAGGGGCTGCGGGTCGGGAGTGAGGGGCACCAGCGGGGCTGGGGGGGCTGCGGGTCGGGAGTGAGGAGCAGCATCGGAGCCGGGCGGGGGAGGGGAGCACACATACCTGGCTGCTCTAATTACCCGTCAGTTTCATGAACAACAAATTCAGCTAAAATCTTCAAACACACCCAGGCCGGAAATCCAGGCAGAATTGGGTCGAAGGCACCAGGAGCTGGGGGGAGGGGCAGGAGTGGGTGCTGCGGGGGAAGGGCAGGGTCCGGGGGAAGCCGGATGGAGGGTCGTTAGATACCACGGCCCTCACCAAGCTGGGACCCCACCCCCCACTCGAGGCAGCCTCCTACCCATGGGTTGGGATCACCCCACATTATCCCCCTCCCCAGATTGCATCTCTCACGCCCTGGCCTGGGACCCATCCCATCTCCCTGGGGTCTCACCACGCTGGCCTCCAGGGGGTCCCTCCAGACAAGCCACCTGCTTCCACTCTGGCATCTCCAGCAGGATGGCTGGGTGTGCGCACTGGGGGCTGGGCTGGGCGTGGGCTTGGGTAGAGGGGCTGGGATAGAAAGTGGATCGAGTTGGTGGGTCTGGACTGGGGAGATGGATTGAGTGGAGTTGGTTTGAGCGTTGGATGTTGGGTTTGAGTTGAACTGGGTTGACATGGGGTTGAGGTTGAGTTGGGTCAGTCTCCCCTATCCCCTATGCCCCCCTTTCCCCAAGGGGTCTCACCCATCGAGGTGGCCTGCAGGATGCCCCTCCAGATGGGTTCTCCGGCTGCCGCATCTGAAGCAGGTTGAGGTTGGGGGTTGAGTTGAGAGTTGGGTGCGGCTTGGAGTGCAACTGAATTGAGTTTGGGTTGGGCTGAGTTGGGTGAGGGCTCGGGTTGGGTTTGGGTTGAGAACTGGAGTTGAATTGAGAGTTGAGTCTGGGCTGGATTGAGATGAGTTGAGGTTGAATTTGGATTGGGTTGATTTAAGGTTGAGTTGCATGGAGATGGGTTGGGGTCAACCTGTGGAACTCCTTGCCAGAGGATGTTGTGAAGGCCAAGACTATAACAGGGTTCAAAAAAGAACTAGACACATTCATGGAGGACAGGTCCATCAATGGCTATTAGCCAGGATGGGCAGGGATGGGGTCCCTAGCCTCTGTTTGCCAGAAGTTAGGAATGGGCGACAGGGGATGGATCACTTGATAAGATTACCTGTTCTGCATTGGCCACTGTCGGAAGTCAGGACACTGGGCTAGATGGACCTTTGGTCTGACCCAGTCTGGCCGTTTTTATGTTCGGGTTGGGATATGGTCTTGCTGGGATTGAATTTGGATTGGGTTGGTTTAAGGTTGAGTTGAACTGGGATGGGTTGGGTTTGGGTTGGGATAAATTCAGGTTGGGGTGAAGAGTTGAGCTGAATTGAGACAGACAGGGGCTGAGATGACGATTGGGTCAACCTCCCGACCCGCTCACCACTCCCACAACCCGCCCCCCCATGATCTCACTCACCGAGCTGCCCTCCAGGATATCCCTCCAGATGGGCGTCTCCTCATCCCGCTCCGCCATCTCCAGCAGGTTGTCCAGCACCACCTGCCCGATGAGGTCGTGGCGGGAGAAGCGGTCGAAGTCGTAGACGCTGAAGTGCAGCTTGCGTCCCGGCAGCTCGGCGAAGGGGACGTTGAAGTTGAAGGTCTCGTTGAAGACGGGATTGAGCGTCTTGCGGTGCACCTTGGTCTGGAACTTCTTCTTGCGGTCGGGCAGCAGGTACATCTTGACGTAGGGGTCGGAGAAGCCGTTGGCGTCCTTGGCCGGCAGGTCCAGCGCCCGCAGGATCCTCACCACCAGCTGCTCCGAGGCGTAGGCGTAGCGCAGGGCGAAGCTGATGCGCCCGCAGGGAGGACCCTCCGCCTTACGGTGCTCCGCCTCGCCCGCCCGCTGCTTGTACAGCTCCGGCTTGATCTGACCGATGCTGGTGGCCTGCTCCGGCTTGTCCTCCCCACCGTGGCCGACCACCTCCGGGCTGGAGAGCTGCTGGGTCAAGGGGCGCGGCAGGGTGTTGTACCTGTGAGGGGTCAGGAGTTGGGAGGGGCATACTGAGGCATGGGGAGCCCCCAACCCACCTGGGACAGGAGCTATGGGGCTGGGAGGGGGGGCAGCTCCCCCTGAATGCACTCCCCCCAGGAGCCCCCATACCCCAGGGCTCCCCTTGTGAAACCCCAGGTACGCCACCGGCCCCCCTGAGACAGAGCTCCCCTTCGGTTCCCCCTCCCATGCCAGGCACTCTCCTGCTGCCCCCTAGTGGGCGGCGAGGGCGGCCCCGGGCCTCACCTGGGGGCGGGCGCCAGGGTGGCCACCTGCTGGTGGGAGTGCGCATTGGGCATGCTGGCGCCCTCCTTAGGGCCGACCTGCCCCTCCACCGGCAGGTCGGGCGAGGTCTGGCTCAGCTTGAGGGTGGCCTCGGGGTAGGAGTCCATGTCGAGGTAGGAGCGTTCGGGCATCTCGGGCCCCAGCTCGACCCGCTCCACCAGCAGGTCGCCGTAGGGCGAGTGGTGGAGGTGGCCGTGGAGGCCGTGGTCCTTGCGCGGCGCCGGCGAGGCCCCCTTGTCCCGCCAGGGGATCCAGCAGAGCTTCCAGGAGACGAAGAGCGAGACCCCCAGCAGCACGATGCCGCAGAAGGTGACAATGACGGAGAGCAGGCTGACGGAGATGTCTGTGCGGGGCAGAGGCTGTGAGTGGCGGGAGAGGCAGGCTGGAGACCCCGTCCTCCCATCGGTACCCCAGACCCCTGGGCACAAAGACCCCCACCCCCAGTATCCTACCACCACCACC